ATCTATAAACTCTTTATAAGCCATGTATAAGGGGAGCCTTAATGTAAAGTGGTACCAAAAAAAACTTGCACAGTAAATTCTCAGTCAGTTCCCAGTTTTTCAAAYATTTTACTGTACATAGATAAAATATTCTCAAACACATAACATATGAAAAAATTCCAGCCGTCATTTTTCAGATGAAAGACTTTTTTACAGGGTTGTTCACATTTTCTTAAGAAGAGAAGAAGAATTCTGTAAACTTGATTAATTCTGGACTTTACTGTTTGACTCATTAGAGCCTCTAGTGTTTGAACATGGAACTGCATCCACCATAATCATTCCCAGGTAAAGGGCAGGTGAGTGACAGGACAGGGGCACTTCAGGGGGCCAATCAGATTTTAGCTGGGGCCAATGTCCCTGTGGCCCCGCCCCTWGATGAATTATAGTAACAAGTGTAATTACTCCCTGCAGATCTTGTCCTGGAAATAAAACATGCCTATATGTTAATAACCAGAAGAACAGAATAAACACAGTGACCTGCTTTAATTGGTTCAGTTGAATATTTTATGATCTGACCTAAATAAGAACAGATCAACAAGTATTCATTACACCAGGTAATCATAGAGAAGTGAACACACTGTGTGAACCATGCAGTCTGTCTTTTGTTGCACAATTTTGCTGCTGAAGCAGTTAAAATTCAGTTTYTGAGTGGTCACTCACCCACAGCCACCTGCACACCCACAACACAATCTCCCTAACTACCAAGTCAACAAGAGGCAAACAATAACACAGACTTCAGGCTGCAAACATCTACTGCATGAAAACTAAACTCAAAAACCCTCCAACCATGAGCTGCAACCAACCCACACTGTAGTAATACAACATTCATTTAATCTGAAAATAAGTCACAATTTAAAAGTTAAAATGCAAAATCATAATGTAAAAAGATCAAAAGCAGAGTTAATAAAGACACAGTCTGATAACAGTTGAATAAATGGTGACAAGAAGGACAGAAAGATAGTTAAAAATGCCGAAACCATTCCACAAATCTAATATAAAATGAGCCAGCCCCAGCTATAGGCCCTTTCAAAAGAAAACAATTTAAAGTCTAACCTAAAAAAAGGACAGAAATTGTCCCATACTTCAAAAAGTTTCTAAAGTTTATGACTTCTGAAGACGCTGCCTCCATTTCTAGTCTGGGAATTACACTGCCTGGCCAAAAAAAGTTGCCACCAAAATAAAGGTCACTCTCTAATATTTGGTTGGACCTTTAGCTTTGATTACGGCACATTCTCTGTAACAATGGGCCTCATGCAAGAACCGTTCGTACGCACAGATTTGTTCTTAAGTTGTGCGTA